GAAACCACGGTCGTGGCTGGTGTGTGATAGAGACCAGGGAACGTGCCTCACAGCGTCGTTCCTTCACGTCCCACACTACGAACGTGGATGTAGTGTGGAAGTCAGCACAACGTACTGAGACATTTCATACGGGCAGGATAACAGTGTCTTGTTCATACCGACACATTAATAAAAGTAATTAGCTTATATGTGGCACTGAAATATTCAACAAGTCCGGATGTATTTCCTTTCAATGAGGAAATATAGACACATATAGAGTCGGTAACATGAACATACAAGGGAGATGTTGAAATATAAGACACATATAGAGTCGGTAACATGAATATACAAGGGAAAAGTTGAAATAGAGACACATATAGAGTCGGTAAGATGAGCATACAAGGGAAAAGTTGAAATATAAGACAACATATAGAGTCGGTAACATGAGCATAGAAGGGAAAAGTTGAAATATAAGACAACATATAGAGTCGGTAACATGAGCATAGAAGGGAAAAGTTGAAATATAAGACAACATATAGAGTCGGTAACATGAACAAACAAGGGAGATGTTGAAATATAAGACAACATATTAAGGAAGGCAAGTTCTTTATTGTACACACAAGGTTTCTGGGTTTTTCCATGCCCCTTCGTCAGTTGAATGAAGACGACAATATTTTGTCTTATATACTCATGCCAACAATGGTTGTCACCCCCTTCAATTTATTTAATTGGAGAGGGGTGTGGGGTGGGGTGGGGTGGGGAGCGGGGTGACAACCATTATTGGCATGAGTATACTTGCATACCAACTTCTATATGCCTCTCAAGAACCTCAAAGTTTAAATGTACAATAATTTATATGTTGTACCCGTACCGAATTGATTAATATGAACTCAATGCGTATTTAAACTTAATATAAAATTAGCATAGGCGGATCCAGAGAGGGGGCGGTACAGGGGTGCGCCCCCCCCCCCCCTGTTGTGCTAAAAGTTTGTTAAATGACCATTGAAACTCGGGTGAAAATGAAGTGTGCACCCCTCCTTTTCTCAATAGTGTGCACCCCCCTTTCTCAAAAAGCTGTATCCGCCCCTGATTAGTGTACACATCCTTCAATACATTGTGTATTCAAATGGTGCACACAGTTTGTCATTCGCTGCAATACTCCTGTTTTTCTACAGTGGTAGGTTTAGTTGTTTTAAGACAGTAGGCGAATTGGGATGTAGGCGATTAGAGAACACACCATGCCAAAGCGTCGTTTTATTTGTCAGGTCTGCCATGCGCAAAAGATTCCATCCGTATAATATTCCATCCGTTGAAGATTCCATCCGTAAAAGATCCATGTGTATAAGATTCCATCCGCAAAAGATTCCATCCGTATAAGATTCCATCTGTATAAACTGAAAGTTTGGAACTGACATATGTCGTCTAATTAAAACGGATGTACATTTACTTGGCATCTGATCTCTGTCCGTGTAAATCTCAATCAATGATCTAATTGTTCGCTAATGAAGCTTGTACACACACAATGCTGACGTGCACTGGCGTCATCCCTGCCAACATGGCGTCTGTTTGCCTGACACAGCGGTTATGCGCCAGTCTTGATGTCTAACTAGCCTAATCGGATTTGTAATTGTCGACCGGTCTTTGCACAAACCTTATAATTTGGCTTTTAATTGTATTCGATTGAATATCTTACTATCGACCTTTCTAATGAATGAACTCTGTCCCCGTCTTCCCCAAAGCATCAATCGCCTTCATTAGGGTCCGAGAGGGGGGGTTATTTGGTATGACAAGGGCTCACAACATGGACCTGATTGAGGTACTGGACAGTAAACACTTTGATTGAAGTTATGAAGATCATGTAATCGACAGACTCTATTTGTGGTCTGCCAAGGAGATAATACGACAAGACAGGCTTAATCGGGATAATCAGCGTGCTGGTGTGCATACTTGGCTTGAGATAATTCGGAAATTTGAAAGTTATTTTCCACTTGTAACACATATTCTGTTTGAAGATTTAATTCTGAAGAAGTGTATAAATATTTCTAAGTATCAAATGTCCATTTATACAAAAAAGTTAAGGAATAAAAGTACATTGTATGCTTGTATAATTTGGTATATGGACATTAAGTTGTATTGATATTGATAACTTAGTATTTGTTATTTTATGTGAAAGGATATATTTAATGTCCCAGTAAGACCTGTCACAGAGAGGCACTTGAACATAAATCACTGGTCAGTGAATGCATCACTTGGGAAGACCTGTAACCACATATAGCCTTGTATGGAAGTTGAACTTTAACTGCTGTCAAGTTTGTGAGATTACATTTGATATTCATCCAAACCCTTCCATGGGTCTCTGTCAATACTGCAAAGCCACAACAACATCTTAGAAACGTCTTATTAACCCACAAGACCAACGACCCGCAAAAACTTGTCAGCGGTCTAGCAGAGACTAGATTAATGGTCAGGAGGCCCTACTTTCGTTTTCCACAAGTTCAACACAAGAAACTACTTTGGTGTGCTTGGCTGCAGCGCTCTGTCCAAATCGATGGTTTGCCTCTTGCCTTGGGCGGACCTGAACCAAGCGCCGGCGTATTTCTTTCACTTGAACGCTTGCTTCTTACAAGATTTTGCAAGGTCTTCAGCTGTAAAATTGAGCAAATGTTGGTTTTGAAAAATCAATACACGACTAGCAGGAACTGCTATGTCATACGTGGGGGCCAGAGCGCGAGAGATTAACAGTATGTTGGAGATGCTGTGTTATGGAAAGTTTTTGTTGTTTTCAAATTGTTGCATTAATGTAACATTTGAAAATCCTACATTACATCTTCATTTAGTATTCTGTAATGACTGTGCTTATTAGTTTGTAGTCTGGTGTTTTTATACCATTTAATTGAATGTTTTAAAACGCGTTTAGGGTTGAAATTTGAAACAACTTCACCTTTAAAATCCAATTGCATTAGTATGAACTTCATTATGGTTTGCAACAAATTGCATGGAAGGACATGGGCTGAGTGTATTACAGAATGCTAAACGACGCCTATTAGAACGGAGAGTCCAGATAGACCCTCTCCAAACTGAGTTACCCTATGAATAATTTGATATGGAGATGTTAAGAAAACCGAAATGTTTAAATTGGATTAATGAATGTTATTGTATTGATTCCTATGGTGGAGCGTATAATAGAAGGAATCTTATGAAAACAACTTTCCAAACATCATCGTGCATCCGTATTGATTGATGTAGAATATGATTCATGCACTGGGTAAATGCGCTTGTCCGACTGCAAGAAAGTCAAGTAAAGATAGATATTGATGCTCATTTCATTCATGACTTTGATGTCAGTTGCTGTCAGATCAAACTAGTCATTATTCAAACAGAAATCGACATTCATGTCGGAGAATATATATGAAACTACACAGCGTCGTTGACGGAGATAACAGATATCCAATATACGTTTAACAAATCTATTCTTTGAAGTTAGTCATTTTCGTAATGGTAGTCCCAGCGTCTGAAACGGCACGCGACGCAAAGGTCACGGTGGGTGTAGATTAACATTGTACCGTTGAAGCAAATGTCCGTGTTAGTATAGTATTGTCTGAAATTATCGCTGATTGCATATCAAGGTTATATGTAATACAATGTATTGAAGCAAAGTCGACATATTCCAGTAGGTCATTGCATTTTCAATATTCACGCAGATATTATTAAATGATCTTATCCACCTGTACTGTTGGACAGATTCAATGTCCAATACAGTGACACGAAATGAGTTGATTAAGTTACTATCAAAGACATATCAATTTTAACAAATCAGTTTTAAGAACATTCTTTAAGCCAAAAGACGCCATGGATATTTAATGTTTTGATCCATCGCTTATTATTTCGAACAGGACAAGACTTCTTGACATATTTAAACAAATTGGCACTATTTGCAGTTTAGCTATGGGTAAGATCGATGTCACAGACAGGAGCGCAGATTTACTAGACACTACATTATTTAATTGTGCTAATGTAACTATTTGAATCATAGCGCTACAGCGATTTCTCATTTTCATTCCGGTAAGAAGGTTAATATATTTTGCCTCTAAAGCCTTTTGACATAAAAACCTAATCGAGCGTAAAAAGTAGTTGACGTTTGTATACTTAGATACCTTCAAACACATCTATGCATGTGTGTCTATTTGAAGGTAGAACATTGAGGTACCGGCTTTGTCATAGTTGACGTGATGGAGTCTGTGCTTGGTTTAGGTCCAGACGATGTGGAGAGTATGTGTCACGTTGAGACATTTGCGTCAGCTTCATTAGCGTAGCCAACCGCACCGTTGATGTACTAGTCTAGTCCCACGTCCCACTTTAAAGGACTGAAGATTTATATGTTTTCTTGGCCATTAGACCTACACTCCAAAGACAGCCTCGTGACGTAGTAGTATCAGGATTTCTCCTATTACACTAACTTTTTATAACTACTGCAGGTTACTTCTACTTAATTTTGATGGAATGCCAAAAATATTCCATTGTACCATTCTTGTACACGTAGCTAAAAATATCGGTAAGTGTATTTAGATCTGCAACTGATTGTTTTACAGGACATAGAGTTCTTATCTTGCCAAGAGCAGATAACGTCATTGACAAATGTGGAGTACACAGAAAGAAATAACCGTTTATCAAGAAGATACGTTGTATCTACTACACATCCGAGATGATTACGACAAAAACTATACTCACTCGAACCGCGACAAAAACATCTGGCTTCTGGCTAGTTTTAAGTTAGCAATGGATGCCGGTGGCTGTCATTGTTTTGTCACTAATTATACACGTGACATATACATGGGTTTATATTTGATAATAAAGAACACATACATATACTTCATCAGATGCGTTTTGTTAAGCGGCAATATATAACAGAGTTTCGACTTGGGAATTATCAGTCAATCAAACCACTTTCAAGACTCTGTTCTGATGAGTTCTGTCGAGTTCTTGGGTGCATTGTTGAAGGGCTATGTATTTTACTGTTGCAGAAACCTCTTCCGAAGTTACCTGTCCCTCCTCTGCAGTCTACCCTGTACAAATACCTGGGAGTGATGAAGCCTGTTCTTACCCCCATACAATTTGCCAAAACCAAATACCTCGTGGACGATTTCCGAAAACCAGGGGGACAGGGTGAAATGCTCCAAGACTGTCTCACGCAAGCATATCACAACAAAGAAAACTGGGTATCTGTGTTATCGTTAACATTCTCTTATATAATCTGCTTACATTTTCGCATAAATTAAACGCTTACAATTCAGCTTTTCATTTCGAACGGTTAATGCCAATTGAAAGCAATCAATGGTATGTTTAGAGTGGAAACTGGCCGTTATGAAAATATTGTATTAGAAAATAGAAAATGTTTTAATTGTATTAATGATGTTAAAGATAAATTACATGTTATGTTTCACTGTGTGTTATATGATGATCTGAGAGAGACCCTTTTGAACCATTGCACTACTTTATGTCCAGATTTTTTAAATAAATCTGATGTTGACAAAATGTGTTTTAGTGTTAGCGATCCTCTTATTTGTTTTAATACAGCCATAATCTGCTTTTTAATTCTAAAACGTAGAAATGAATTCAATTGGTTATATGGTTAAAACATGTTTTTAACTTTCTTATGTCTCTCATAATTCTGTTTTACCAATAGTTATAATTCCAGTACTTAACATGGAGGCTGTTTTAACAAACCGTATTCTACGTCCAGGCTTACGACTGGTGGCTAGATGATATGTACTTGAAGATACGCCTTGCCCTTCCTATTAACTCCAACCCAGGCATGGTGTTTCCCAGGAACAAGTTCCATAACCAAAGAGAACAGCTGAGGTGAGATACTAAAGCCTTATCTCATACTTCAATGTTTGTGTTTCCAAGTCATTCAATCGAAGGTAGAAACTGTGTTGCCAGTTGGATAACAACGCTCAGCCTCTTATTCACATTTAAAGAAGTTTATTTGTTTCGTCTGAAATTCAGATTTTCTACCCACGTATTCAGAGAGAATAACTGCTGAGACGAAACTGCATTTCAAAATTTGAATCAGGTCTTGTATTTCTAATATCCAGGTTGTATTATCCAGATGAAGACATCAGCTACACATGACATGGAGATTGTGTTTATTTTGGCTTGGGATACCCACCACAATACTTATCCGTAGTTACCCTTACGACACCACGACATATGCACATATTATTTGATGATGGGAATGTAGGAATTCGTATTTGACCGTAACCGTTTGATCTCTGTTTTCAGGTATGCATCGCGATTAATAAGCGGAATTCTAGACTACAAAATTAAAGTTGACAGGTAAGAAACGTACGTTGTTATATGTTGATATTGGTACACTAGTACTCAGTCAGATGTCTTTTTTAAACGAGAACTATTGTTCATGTCCGTTGTCTTAAAGCTGTTGCCTCTATTGATATCTAGTCTCTTATACTGGAACCAGATTTGCTTGTGTGGGTTGTGCAGGATAGGGAACAGGATGTCTATCAAGTGTGTATGTGTAGGGTGGTATGTAGGAGAGCGACTCCCGTGTTTGGGAAGATCAAACGTTGTGCCACAAATCCCATGATCCTCAACCAAATTCACTGTTTATGGATTACGAAATTCTCATTGTCAATAAATTCAATGTATGTCACCATGTAAGTGAATCTCCATTATACCCATGTTGGACTTCCTAGTGATGGCGACCCGTGTAGGTCCGGGTTAGAATATTGATCTTCAGTAACCCATGCTTTTAGTAAGAGGCGACTAACGGGATCGGGTGGTCAGGCTCGCTGACTTGGTTGACACATGTCATCGGTTTCCGATGCCCATGCTGATGATCACTGGATTGTCTGGTCCAGACTCGAATATTAGTCATTAAAAGTAATCAAATATGACATGATGGAGTCCGTCGCCATATAGCTGGAATATTGCTGAGTGAGGCGTAAAACTACACTCACTCACTCCTAATGATAGCTGTTACTGCAGCCTTCTCCATGTTGATGTAAACCATGTCCTACTCCTGTCGGTCTCATCTGAGCCAAACATGTAGATTGCGTGATTTATGATGTTTAGTTTCTAGTGATCGAACGCTTTACAGAGAAGCCTCTCAAAGGGAATAATGAAATAGTTCCTTCAAGATTTGCTGTACGACAAAGATTTCCACGGTCAGACCTGTCCCTGTAAACGGACAAAAATACAACGCCTACGTTTGTTGTTCGGTGTAGATTAATTCAATAAACAACCCCGCTATCTCCGTCTATGAAGTGAGTTCATTTAATTAAAACAGATCAGAATCAGCGCTGAATATCTTGTCAAGATACTGACATCCGACCTTATGAAATAAAACACAGCGGCGCCTTTGATCTCCATATAATCATCATTAATTGGATTAAAGCCGTTTTCAATTAAATCACGATTCTATGAAATATACATAAATCTCTAACAAGATGTTCCACCGTATTATCATTGTGGATAATGGTTCATTGCCGATTCAGTCGACTCTAATTTCCATAACTTGGTATGCGAAGTTAGTGGTCAGCGCTGACAATGGTCATCACTGATGCCTTGGTCATCTCAACTACAATATTTCCACCAAGGCCATCAGCACGATGATGAGGCATTGACAAATGATATATTCGTTTCTTAGCACTACCAGTCTCATAGCTGGTGTGGCATATGCTGCAGAAAGTAGTGTTGCTTTCCAAATATGCCATTAAATATTCAACCGTCAGCGTCTTTTTAAAGGCAAATCATACACACACCAAGACAATGTACTCCTCGCTGTTACGTTGCTTGAGCCCTTGCATTCTAGGGCATTTATCAGCAGGGCAGCCCTTTCGGTAAATGTCTTCATTTTATTTAATCCAATTGAAATATTATCCAGTTCATATTACACAAGCGAAACAAACACATACGTAATTATAAACCTGACGCATTTCATATATCACAATTTATGCTAAAAAGTAGTAATATCTGACAACATATATTTATAACTGACATATGACATCGAAATCCCTATTCGCGTAATGGATACACTTTGTTTCTACATGGACAAACAGAAACGGATTCAGAAAACAGCATTATTGCAATCGCAAGACCGTTTTCCTATTTTAGAAAAAAAACACCTTTAAATTAAAAGAAGACGGGCACAAAAGTACACACAGAAAAACATAGATAAAGCAGAGTATAAGAGTCATCAACGAATTGTATGTACTTGGCTGAGTGACGATGGTTTTGTGCCACTTTTAGCAATATTCCAGCAATATCAAGACGGGGGACACCAGACATGGGCTTCACACATTGTACCCATGTGGGGAATTGAATCCGGGTCTTCAGCGTGACGAGCGAACGCTTTAACCGGTAGGTCCCCTGCTGCCTACAGTTCCAAACTGCCTACATCCCAAACTGCCAACAAAAATATTGTAGTCAGCGTGGGAAATGATTTTTTGCCCTGTAGAGTAATGGAACAGCCCAATTATCAATGAAGAACGGGTGTGTCGTTTGGAGTAAGGTAGTAGTAGTTATTTGCTTTATTTAATGTCGCACGCACAACTAAGGTATTTCGGCGACGGTACACTTATTAAGAAATGAGGGGAACAAAAAATAGAAATTTTGAAAGAGTGGTGTTACTACCAAACAAACCAAACAACTGAGTATTAAGAGAAATTTGAATGAGATGCCGAATTACAAAGGTAAAGAAAATATGAAAAGGTAAAGAGTATTAGAGATTTTGAATTTAATATAGATGGGGTGTAGTAAATGGTTATTGTTGTTGTAACTTTTAACCAACCCATGTTTAAAAACATATTTATTAAGTGAATAATGATAAATATATAAAAGGTTAAAAAATGAACTTGATAAAAAGAGAGAACTGATTTAAAAAGTTAAAAGAACATATATACATATTTATTAAAAAAAATGAAATGGTAAAAAGTGGTATTATTGGTTTTTTTTGGCTAGATTGCTTGGTATAATTTTGTATGAATGAGATATTTAGTGAGTGGTTTAATTAATTGGGGATTTGTTAGAATGTGCTTCAAATCAAAAGAGTACTACTGGGTTTGGTATCTACATACCCAAAAAAAGCCATAATCAATCCTATAATCTCCCGGTAAAATCCAGTATCTGACCAAACAAACACTACCATCTGCATTTTTACGGATTCCTTAAGCTCCATACAGGCTCTAAAAATACTCTACAACAAACAGACCAGATCAAATAAATAACATAAACAGAAGAATACTATACCACCAAAACAAAAATAACCAAATACATTTTTACTGGCTTCCGTCACATATCGGAGTCCATGGCAACGATATGGACATCCTTGCCAGTTGTGTGTAATTGTGACACCAGTAAAAGACTGTAAAACCAGTAAAAGACTGTAAAACTTATCAATTTTTCATGATATATCCATGTCTCCATGTAAAGACTGAGAATTCTCAGAATGAATAAAGATGTCTTACCAACCAACACTTGTCGTTTTTTAAACTTCTGTAGGTGGAGTGGGAAGACACCATAGAACAGGTCAGTTCATTAACCAACTAACTGGTCAATTTCATTTTAGCAGGGTTAGAACAGGTCAGATCAGTGTATTCCCATTAACTTCACTTCCTGATCACTGGACCCTGTCATGTTGTTTTAACCTGTAGGCAGTTTGGAACTGTAGGCAGTATGGGAATACACCCTTTAACCACTAGTCCCCCACCGCCCACTTGGATGAAAACAGTCATTGGAACACTTTGAACTTAAGGTCACAAAAGCACATTGAATACCATATCAAGTATATCATAATCGAATAACATTTTGTTGTTTCTTGATATGGCAAATCACACATTCTTATACATTAATAATACTCTAGCTGTTTGTTACGAAAGAGATGTGGCAGTTATGCTAAATATGGTTTTTGCTAAATCCATTTAATGTACCACCAAATCCCTGTCTCAAAGATTAACCATAATCCTTAATACTATCAACGAACGACTTTCTCTGTCTTAACAGAATTTTGACAATCTCAGATCAGTTGATTTGATTTTACAACGTGACACATGATTAACGTATGGAACAACTCCATTCCTTGATACATGGGGCATTTGCAAACAATCGTGAAGATATAAATATATATATATCTTCAGAGCTTCGGGACAATTTGCCAAAAATGAAAGCAAATGTCACTTGAAGTTTACTGAGAAACAATATATGGAATGCTGGATGTTTTCATTAATCACATTTGTTTTTAAACTTGGGGTAAAAGTACCGTAAAACATTTTAGCGAAGAAGTCGGTATTTACATCGGCACCAACTGTGCTCCCCTCCTTGTGGATCTATTTCTTTATGCATATGAATCGGAATTTCTGCTCGGGTTGGCAAAATCAAAACAAGGTAATTTGACCAAGAAGTTTAACTTAAGCTTCAGGTATATCGATGATTTAATATCGTTTAATAACCATCAAATCGCCAGTTCCCTTCCACGGATTTATTCACCCGAGCATGGAATTAAGGAGACAAGTGAGACCGCCTCAACTGTTTCATAATTGGATCTTTGCATAGATATTCAGAGTGACAAAAACTCTCCACAAGGCTGTATGACAAAAGGGGTGATTTCAATTTTCCAATAGTCAACTTCCCTTTCATGTCCAGCAATATTCCAACAGCCCAAGCCTTTGGTGTTTACATTTCCCAACTATTTAGGTACACTCGAGCATGCTCTTGTTACCATGATTTCGATACAACTCTTTCTCAGAAGTTGTTTGATCAAGGTTACAACAATCTAGGCCTCAGTAAAGCTTTACAATGTTTTATGGTAGGAATGGGGGGCATTTCAAAATTTGACGCCTCAGTGAGAAAAATTATGTCAAAAGCGAATTCCGTTTTTCACTTGTACCATACGTTCCCGAATTATTTCAGGTGATCAGTTGACTAGCCTCTGCATATGTTTATGACGGGTGCCACCGGTGGGGCAGGATACGCTCACCTTTTAGCGAACACCTGGTGTCATCACTATTTCATAGTGATTCATAAACACATGCTCTGCCATCGTATCGTATTGTGACAATCACTGTATTGTCTGGTCCAGACTCGATAGTTTACGTGGCTTTTGATTGTGACATGGGAAGGGTGACCGAATCATTATGTTAAGTGAGCTTTCACGTCACCAGCGCTGTCACGTGACATCCAATACTTTATGGACATTAAACACATTTCATAGTCAGACCGTCTCTCGTCTACATTGTCCGTGGAAGTGGACTGTATCATATGGCCCAGATACCGGACTATACAATCATAGCTATTGGGATTGAGGATCGATTTATGCATATACACTGTATTATTACGTCTGGTCATACCACGAGCCCTGTGATGTATATGTGTTTAGTGTTTGCCATATTAAAGGTTATGTCTCATGTCGTATGTAACTTACTGATAGTCTTAACGGGGTTCATAGATCTCACTGGATGTTGTATATTTCTTAAAACATGCTGCAGTCGACTATGTGGAGTTGGACATAAGTTGACCAGTACGATTTGTTTCATTATGAACACCTGACATAACTAAGGCTGCCACAAGGTTAAAACTATGTGTGTTTAAGCACACAGTCGGTGGCGATATACGATATGTGCAACCAGATAATTAATTCTGTAAAAAACCGTGTTTAAATCCTAACACAAAAGTAAACGCGTTCCTTGTGTCATAGTTTGACACGTTCATGTCTGAACATGTTCAGGATTGTGTAAAACAGCTGATGTGAAGTCTAAATTTAGGAAATTACAACCTAATGTCTTGTAGTCTCTCAAAGTGCCACCTATGCTATGGAGGTTTTGCTGTCATCCCAATTGTATATTTCCCAGACACCGTTTACTTAGCTTGGTATGCTTTTACATATTCATTGTTACATTGAAGCAGGTTCACTTAGAGTCCTGGTGACATGTGCAAGTACCCGATTTTAAATCTGATTATATATGTATGCCTTGAAATGCATTAAAACTTAAATATTTATTCAAGACATGTTTAGAGTATTCCAAGAGTACACAATGGTATGCATTTCGCTACAAACATGTCCAAATTGTACACGTGTTCAGATTATGTGTTAAACTGGTGTTGAGACTCTTATGCGACAGCTCATTTCAAGTCTTGAAACCCCAGCCATGTTTAAAAAGGACACGTCAAGTGCGCATTCCGTTTAGGACTTTAACACATCCCCGAACATGTTAAGATCTAAATATGTTTTGCATATTTTTCTAAATACAATAACATTGTACTGACACTGAACTTTCGCATTCCATAGATGATTTTGAAATCAACCCATACATTTCACTGAGCGCTGACCATACACGCAAAGTTTCCATAAAATGAGAGGGAATGTAAGTTGGTTGGAAAAGGTTACGTCCCGAGTGATGAGAGGCTATCCTAAATACATATTACAACTCTGGTTGTCAGACGGGCACTTCCCATAGAACGAGCTCGCCACAAAGAGAAGGGTCAGCCGATGTGTATGGAACAACACTACCGTATCTTCACCTCGTACCGGGCCCCGGGGCTGAAGAAGGACACTCAGATAACAGACACTGGCGATGGTCAGGACAAAGTCATTGTAATCTGTAAAAATCAGGTAAAAACCGATGAGCATCAGTGAATGAGTGAGTTTAGTTTTACGCCGCTTTTAGCAATATTCCGGCGATATCACGACGGGGGAGGCAAGAAATGGGCTTCACACATTGTGCCCATGTGGGGAATCGAACCCGGGTCTTTGGCGTGACGAGCGAAAGCCTTTACCACTGTGCCACCCCACCGAGCTGATGAGCATCAGGATGTGCAGCAGAAGAGTATCTTTAGCTTCTATTTTGCTAGATAATTTCGCATAAGGTTGGAGACAATCCTACTGTGGGGGTTCGACCCCCCTCCCTTTTGAAAATGACTAAAGACCACATTGGTGGAGTCAAGGTGTTTCAGGGGTCTCCGTCTATGTAAAGTAGAGTAATACATGTTCATCCATCTGTAACTTTAGTAATGAATTATGGTTGTGGGACATGAACCAGTGGTTGATGTCATGACTAACAATCGGGGCAATGAGTGATCATAAGTTCAGTTGGTAAGGAATACAGTTGCAGCCGGCTGATCGCAAAGTGGAATAGTTTACCGAAATATATCAAACGTTAATTAATTATGTGTTTATACGCTGTTACTTCCCCCCCTATTATTGTGTTGAGTGTGATATTGGAGTACACAATGTTACAGTTGTTTGTCATGGAGGTGGCTACGGAAACAGGCAATCTCTCTGAAGCTGAGATATACGGACAGCTTGAGTTGATAGCGAGGCTAGCAGATGCAGACTCCGCCAACGCCCCGCCGGTTGGTATTCTGACGTCACAGACACGTGACAAATGGGCGGCAGCTAGAAACAGATTACTTTTGGGTAAGTCGGAAAAGTTACATCCACAATATCCTGAAACAGTCATGTATAGTAATGCACTTTCAATATACCTCCTATGCTATATAAGTCCCCGTTGCAACATTGACGAATACATACTGATGTTGGACATATCTGCCGCAGTTATCCTAGGACTGGCTATCAATGTCGGGATATCGTGCTACAATAGTTTAACTTCTTATAACTAAAGTCAGAACTGATTCCAGACACCCATGTTCGTCCCCGGGATAACTATACTTAACAAAGAGTCACCAGACAATAACATATAATCGACGGTAGAGTTAAGAGGACTTAACTACACATGGATGTACGTAGACAGTGCTAACTGTTATTATGCTAGGGCTGAACATAGTTCAACGTTGACAGTCTGTCACGTGTCGTCCCTACTGCGCATGTCTACTCAGTCCTCCTCCACCCATGTAAACTAGGTGAATTGTGTATGCCTGAAGTAACGCCGTAACGGTAGTTTAAAGTATTGATACCTTACATTTGTCCCCATGACATTAAATCGATCCGTGCTATCGACATATGTAATACAATGTGGAACATTACTGATGATCATTGTCCTCGTTCTGTTGTGAAACATTCCCTGCTTATTGACACTGACGAACTGATCTTGACATGAATAATATCCATCGATACCTGACGTTGTTCCATCTTTTTAAGACCCGATCAACCGAGACTCACTCGACGCCATAGAGAATTCCATCTTCATCGTTTGCCTTGACAAGCCGACATGCCCCTCCCCCGACACGCTGAAGATCGACATTACCTGCCTTGCTCTCCACATGCTGCACGGGCAGGGGTCATGGGCGAACACCGCCAACAGGTGGTTCGACAAAACTATGCAGGTGAGAAATAAAAAAAAATAAAACAATAAATATATAGTGTCAGTGATTGGTTGGTTGGATTGTTGTTTAACGCCGCACTCAGCAACATTCCAGCTATATGGCGCCGGCCTGTAAATAATCGAATCTGGACCAGACAATCCATTGATCAACAGCATGTGTATCCATCTATGCAATTGGGATACGATGACATGTGTCAACCAAGTCAGCGAGCCTGACCACCCGATCCCGTTAGTCGCCTCTTACGACAAGCATGGGTTGTTGAAGACCAATTCTAACCCGGATGTTCACGGGTTTAGTGTCAGTGATCTATTCTAACCCGGATGTTCACGGGTTTAGTGTCAGTGATCTATTCTAACCCGGATGTTCACTGGTTTAGTGTCAGTGATCTATTCTAACCCGGATGTTCATGGGTTTAGTGTCAGTGAGAGGAAGCTGTACGTGATGAAGTGGGGAACAGACAAATATACTCACGTGCAAAAGAAACGTCCCCAAGTATTTTTCAACTACCAAGCAACACAAGCATAAACACGAATAGATATGAACGTTGAATATGCACAACGAAGGTGTATGTAAAGCATGTCTGACATAAAGAAAGAGAACGTGGTAAAACTAACAGTGGTACAGGGAATGTTGTCACATGGGGGTCGATTGTCCAGTATTCGAGCGCAAGCCAAAATAACAAATCACAAAACAGAGATTGAAGTGGGAAGACAGATCGTCAATACCGCGCATGTCCACCCCTCACATCGGTGCACGTCAGAAAACGTCTTCGGGCCGAGTGTGTAAGTCTCCTGATCACGTGACTGGGGATCCGACGCAATTCTGTCTGTAATGCCTGAGCCAGTGCTTTTCTCGTCAATGGAGGGTGTAGAAGCTGTAGAATCCGACGTCCAAGATGGCTCCACAAGTGCTCTGTCGGAGACATGTCAGGGGATCTTCGTGGCTAAGGCTGTACGGGCACGTTGTGACAAAAGCGGTGTGAGATGTTCTATTGTCTTGTTGAAACAAGGTTCCTGGATATTGCTGGACGAAAGGCAGCATACTGGGCCGCAGAACTTCATCTATATACCGACGGGCTGTCAGGCTGCCATTGATGATAACAGGGTCGGTTTTGCTGTTCCCACATGCCACCCCAAACAGTCACACTGCCTCTACCATATGGTTCCGTTTCCTGAACGCAACAACGTGCCGTCCGTTCCCCACGCCGGTGGTAGACACGTCTTCGGTCGTCAGTTCTGTTCAAATGGAACCAACTCTCGACGCTGAAAAGGACCCGTTGCCGGTTCCGTTGCTGCCACTGACGAACATTCCTGGCCAAAACCAATTTTCGACGTCGATATTCCGGCGGTAACGTCATGCCCCTCAACGGTCTGTAGGCTCCGATTTCCATGTTGACGTTGTCGTCTGGACACTGTCCACCTGCTGACGCGATGACCATCGTTAGGCCATCATTTATGTGTTTCTGTAACCTCAACCAACAAGACAGGGCGGGCGAAAAATATAAATATAAAAAACTAAACGTGTATTTCACTAAATGTGTTACTAATTTTTAAAAAGTAAATTGAGATCATTTTGGGGATAGTCTTTGAAAAATGTATAGTGTAAATCCTGTTGCTTTGCTTCGAAAATATATTATTCATAAATGTAGATTAAGAAAGATGAAGCAGCCCTGTTTTTAAATCAGTATACCAGTATTTATTTTTACCCTAAAGGCATGCATTTACACAGAGGAAAGTGAGACAAGAAAACGTTCTAGCGTTAAAGGTAGGAATGAACATTTGAAAACACTGAACAATGCTGCAGACAGCTTTAAGGGGAAGTCGTTTGTTATACAGACATGTAACAACATGATGAATAACTAAGTAAATGGATTCTCTGTACATAGGTCAAACAAATTATATTAATTGATACATTGGCTATATCGAGAACGATGTTCAGCAACTCAATGGTAACAATTTTTCGGTTCTAGTTTGTGGTATCCGAGGATGGTACGTCCGGCTTGAACTATGAACATTCAGTAGCAGAGGGTATAGCCGTGGTACAGCTGGTAGAACATGCTATCAAGTATATGTAAGTACATTTCCTATCCATGTCCTTGTATGTAATGGAGTTCCTAACACATCCATCAATCACATGTGTACATTAGTAATGAACTAACGGAGTACGATTTTATTTGAGCACTTCATACGACCATATCAAGCGGCAACTTGAAGTATTTCACTTAGTTGCCGTCAAAGTCTGTGATAGAAGACATATTAAGTTGACTAAGAACCGTTCAGTCTTTATCCACACGGAGATGTGACTATTTGATTGATGTGTTCACACTGGGATGGTGCTCTTCGGATTTCTATTGACTCTCATGCGTTTAGTTCAATATATTCTCTGCTAAGGTATGTATTGATCACATATGATCACACATGACTCCTGTTCAAATAGTTTCTGAACCAAACATAAATGTTCTCGTTGTTTTACTTCGCAGAGAGGACGCCAAACTGAGACAGAGATCTTTTTCTCAAAGTTCTATACGTAATACACTCGTGCCAAGAAAACTGTGCTGGAACATTACATCGGAGACGGTTAAAGACATCCAACAGGCAAATGAGTATATAGACGGGTGAGTGGATAATTCCACTGTCTAATGATCATCTCACCGTCTAGACGCCGTATTCACTACCCTCAGTTGCATCTTGGCGAATTTTAATCAGTATCAAAGACATTACCTAATGTGTTCAGTGTTCGGTAAGATATTGATCCAGTGTCTCTGTATGAGTAACATGTGTGAGAGATTGTCTCTGTATGGATGACGTGTGAGACATTGTCTCTGTATAAGTAACATGTGTCAGACATTGTCTCTGTATGAGTAACATGTGTGAGACATTGTATCTGTATGAGTAACATGTATGAGACATTGTCTCTGTATGTATGACGTGTGAAACATTGTCTCTGTATGGATGACGTGTGAGACATTGTATCTGTATGAGTAACATGTGTGAGACATTGTCTCTGTATGGATGACGTTTGACACATTGTCTCTGTATGGATGACGTGTGAGACATTGTCTCTGTATGAGTAACATGTGTGAGACATTGTCTCTGTATGGATGACGTGTGAGACATTGTCTCTGTATGGATGGCGTGTGAGACATGGTATCTGTATGAATAACATGTGTGAAACATTATCTGTGTATGAGTAATATGCGTCAGTCATTGTCTCTGTATGGATGACGTTTGACACATTGTCTCTGTATGGATGACGTGTGAGACATTGTCTCTGTATGAGTAACATGTGTGAGACATTGTCTCTGTATGGATGACGTGTGAGACATTGTCTCTGTATGGATGGCGTGTGAGACATTGTATCTGTATGAATAACATGTGTGAAACATTATCTGTGTATGAGTAATATGCGTCAGTCATTGTCTCTGTATGGATGACGTTTGACACATTGTCTCTGTATGGATGGCGTGTGAGACATTGTATCTGTATGGATGGCGTGTGAGACATGGTATCTGTATGAATAACATGTGTGAAACATTATCTGTGTATGAGTAATATGCGTCAGTCATTGTCTCTGTATGGATGACGTTTGACACATTGTCTCTGTATGGATGGCGTGTGAGACATTGTATCTGTATGAGTAACATGTGTGAAACATTATCTGTGTATGAGTAATATGTGTGAGACATTGTCTCTGTATGAGTAACATGTGTGAAACATTGTCTGTGTATGAGGAACATGTGTGAGACATTGTCTCTGTATGAGTAACATGTGTGAAACATTATCTGTGTATGAGTAATACACACACTGACATTGTCTCTTTATGAGTAACATGTGTGAGACATTGTCTCTGTATGAGTAACATGTGTGAGACATTGTCTGTGTATGAGTAATATGTGTGAGACATTGTCTCTTTATGAGTAACATGTGTGAGACATTGTCTCTGTATGAGTAACATGTGTGAAACATTGTCTCTGTATGAGGAATTTGTGTGAGACATTGTCTCTGTATGAGTAACATGTGTGAAACATTATCTGTGTATGAGTAATATGTGTCAGACATTGTCTCTGTATGAGTAATATGTGTCAGACATTGTCTCTGTATGAGTAACATGTGTGAGACATTGTCTCTGTATGAGTAACATGTGTGAGACATTGTCTGTGTATGAGGAATATGTGTGAGACATTGTCTTTGTATTGATGACGTGTGATACATTGTCTCTGTATGAGTAACATGTGTGAAACATTGTATATGAGTAATATGTGTGAGACATTGACTTTACGGAATAAGTGCCCTGTGTAAAACTTGTTTCTTCATAAGTGACGTGTGAGACACTGGTCCTCTTCTCTCCTCAGCCGCAAACCGGTTGCAAGTTGAGTGGTTGAAATAAACATACTGGACATCATTAAACATGGTCGATAGGTATACAGTTTCCATCCACTCTCTTCTGATATAAAGTAACCAAGATGTACCTACTTTATAAGTATCAACATAGTACGACAGTACAGAGAATACTACGTTTTAGTGTTCTTTTTTCATGTCTGTTTGCTTTCGGGGTAATGGTGTAGGTGGGCTGGCTGTATTCCATTAGTGTTCCCCCTTCTTTGATGTATAAACAGGTAATGGTTAACCGTTTGTTCACTGCCGACTGGTGTGAGGATTGTTGAGGACGTTCCCTTAAAGTCATTACTCCACGTCAACTTAGTGAAATCTTCCAGAAGATCACTCTTCACTATTTACAGTACACATCACATAGTCCTCTGTCAATTTAGTCGATGAAGCAACTGCGCATATTTGTACAAGGTATTTAGCATGCCTCTCAGTTTGTCTCAATCGTGTTCCCAGGGCAGCTGGACATGATATATTTTCTGCCGGTGTTAATCAAGCATCGCCGTCCTTAAAGAACTTTTTCAGTGATAGGTGATTAACAGTTACCGTGCCAAGTCAAACGAGTGTTCTTCTGAATAAATGACATCCCTCCTCCTTAACTAGGGCCCTTGGGGGACCAACGGATGGAAGGTATAACTTTATTAGGGCGCTAATGGGCAGAATGCATTTAACGATGTAAATCGTCTCGGGATTAATGATAGGCACATGGTCCGTTCTCATAGTTCGTTTCACTATCGATCTCAGGATGGAGAGGTGTAAACAGTCTAATCACACCCCTATGACGTCATTCTCAGCCTCGTTTACGTTTGTCTGGAAGTTTAATGGAAACTGTCTGGTCTCGCGGTAGCCGGACTTGGGAGTTCGACCGCATGTTTCTCACTCTTCAGAGTGAAGATGACTTATGCCGGTTTGTGATTCATTCTACGGGTAACCATTTTGGAAAAATATAAAAGATTGGTGTTAAATGCGGTATGCATATGGTTGAGTTTGGTTCGATTTGTCAATTTAAATTTTCAAATTATAAATACGCAAAATTTCTGAAGTGATGAAAGAGTCACGGAATCGAAATGTTAAGAGTGTTTTATATCATTTCTACATTTGGAAATGTCAAGTCAAACTTAGTTCATGAAATATTTGCCAACGAATGACAAATCAAACTGTAAAACAGTCAATCACATTTTCTCGGAAACGAGGCTGAGAAATTTCATTGACGCTGTACGAGATCGAATTAGATGTAGCGGACATTTCTGTGAGGAATACTCTATTGAGTTACTTCCGGTGAGTCGGCAACACTCTTGCCATGTCTCACGCACGATTCCTAATCCAACAAACTCGAGAATTTCTTCCGTCAATATTTACAAACTAAACAGTCTCCGAATTGGCCCCCTTATTCAATAGCGGGCCGTTTCTTTGCCCCACTCTTTCCAATCTCTCCCCCCTCTACTAGTGATCAGTCGATAAGAGTCCGGAGTCTTATGGGGGCCATTCGAGTCAAATCCAATTAGACGGGACGCCTCGTTTTCAGATTGGCACCATCGATTTTACCTCCCCAGTCTAAAGAGCGACACGGATGCCTTATGATGGAGGACGGGACGAGATCAAAGGCGATAGTGGGACTCTTTTCCTATGAAATCAAATAAAAGGCCTTATAACTCCCATAAAGGCCTACCTCGTTTGTAACACGTGAACAAATTGGCTTATTCCCCGAAAACCGGTGCATAATTAATCAACTGCCCCTGATATAAGGACCGGGGCAAGCAATTTTCCATTAAAAGTGGCCACTGGCAAGTAATTTGGTGTATTGCCGAAGATTTGCCCTTTAAACGAGCTCAATTTCGATACTCCAATCTTGCGAAGTGAGGACATCCCTACCTAATCTCACCGGCGGTCAAAACTAATAAGAAAAGAAAATAGACCTAATTTTCTATTTCCTACCCTAGGGAGCGCTCTTAACTCGTCTAAAGTAATTGTCATCAAGGCGTAAAGCCTCGCGAGAACACGTCGTGATCCAACGATAATATACGAGGGGACAAATCCAAAGTTTGTTCACGTTTCGGGTCAGTTTCGTAGACAAAACAATGCATAAAACTTTACTTTCTTATCTACATAATATATGTCCGGTATCTGATGAGACTTCGTTATACATTACTGGGGTCGAGTTGAATCTGCACATTTCGGTACTTTATGAATAGTCTCCCCTTGTGTCCGTTTAACATGTAATGTCCAGGGAATGACTTCAACACTTCTTAGAACAATATAACTGTTTTATCGCTACTGTCTGTTAAATAAAAGAGAGAAGTCCAAAGCAACTCACGTCTAATGCAACGGCTATGTCACTGGCAGATAACTGTAGGCTGAGTAAACTTGCCATAATGAGGTTGATGTAAGATTCGAACCCGTAACAATTGGACCCTTGCATGACCAGGTGAAGCAGTACCGGCAAAGTGGACAACGAATGACGTCCCAGATAAATACTTATATTTAATTATCAACGATCTCGATGTTTTCGTGTGAAGTGCAATTACTCAAAATGAAGATGACAATATAATGGATCGGGTATACAGAATCAATGTTTGGGTTGTTGTTTTTCAGATTGATAGACGACCTTGACCTTACAATAGTAAGGTTTGAAAACTTCGGCCGCGACTTCCCGAAGTCTCACGGAATGAGCCCTGATTCTTTCATCCAGCTGGCTTTGCAGCTCACATATTACAAGTACGTTTTAAAAACAAATGTTTTTTCACAGTAGCACTTGAATGTATAATTGCAATCAGGACATTCTTAATGACTTCTTAATAACTGCAACTTTTCGTAACTGACAATCAAACAATATGAAAATGATGACAATATTTATTACTGAATGCAAGTATTGAAATGAATAAACAAGCGTTACATGTTGAAGACTTGTATACCATATAGGGGAAGATATATTGCGTGGACGATTGAAATTTAGGAAAGTTGTTTACTAGCCCCAAGTTGTAAAGAGTTACACTCTTGAAACGCCTGTTCAGTGTTCATTAATATTACATACGCTTTACGCCCTTGTTCTCCCGGGGCCCCCAAGAACGAGTGAGAAAGTGTAATAATTAACTGTCAACCACACCACTCAACGCCATCAGATATCAAGACATCCTGACGCTCCGTTCGTAGTTGGAAATGACAGATCTAATTGTGATCCCAACAAGAAATAATTTTCAAGATTTTTTCATAACTTCAATGAAATAAAGCATGATCATAAAAATATGTTTTAGCAACATGTGTCGTTCTAAACTTCATTTGACGTACCCAGAGGAATCACAACATGTTTGAAGCATTGATTTATGAAAATAGGGAAAAAATGCGGAAATTGTTCCATTTAACGTGTTCCCCCTTTGGCGCAAATAACGTCTGATACAAAACATGAACATGGGGGAAAATAGGAAATTGACGCTAACAATCAAAGTGACAGCTGACAACGTTGTCAGTGAAGGCCGATGTTGAAGGATGTCAGAATGGGTGTTTGGAATCACGCCGCGTTCTATTGGATTGGGGTGACAGGTAAATGTGGAAGTCACGCCCAACAACGTCATTCTGTTCCAACGTGACTTTGACGAGATAGCATGGCTGGATCTCTGTTGTGTAGAGGCGTTCGAAAGGGAAATGCGGGTTTAGAAAACAGATTTTCGAAGTTTGTGTATTTTGTAAATAATAGGTGTCTGTTATACATACTGTTTCTTTAACCAGGTGAATGATCATAATGTGTTTCAGAAAATAGTGTGTATTGAGTGAGTTGAGTTTAAGTTTATAGTCACAGCGGCAGTATTTCAGTCCTATCGTGACTTAACATCGTTACTAATACATGAGAAATGCGCAAATTGTAAAACCTGTCGACGGAGGACAGTAAAACCAACTAGTATATCACAGTATCAAGAAATAAAACTAGCATATATGACTAAAATAGAATTTCAAATGAGGTAGTGTGTATTGAGTACACACATTACACCAGCAGCTGCTGTTACAGGTGAGCATAGCCATTTCTAGAGGCATCTGGTATTTTCTCCACTCCCTAAGACTGGTTTGATTCAGTACTTTATATACATGTACACTGCCCCGAGGCTTCACTAGGCCTAGCTGGATACAGTTCCACGTCCATTGGAAGCATTAGTCATTGTTTTGAAATCTAGTATAGTACATAGTATGATTCATTGAAAGCATGAAATGTTGTGTCCTTTCAAAACTAAATATATATTTGTCACATTTCTGAGTGATGTTCATAAATAGAAAATATTTTATAAGAAATAGTAATAATCTATTTCTTTAATTAGTGCGTGAATATATGCTTAAGTCGTATCGTGTGATATTGAGCCGTTAGAGGCTTCGGAATCATAATGATAATATATCTCGACACAACAGAAACTATGATCAAATAGATGTTCAAGTATCTTATGGAAAAGGACAAAAACTCTTCTTCTCATGAACCACGGGTGTCATTACACAATTAGTCAGATGTGTCATACACATCACTGGGCGTAACTTCATCGGGACTTTTCATTTCAAAACTCGATTATTCATAAAAAATCTGACATCGTTCATTTCAATCTGTTTCACATGTAACCTTCGCAAAGATGAACAACTGTGTTGTCAATGCCCGCCTCCGACCAAAGGTTTAAACTTGATAGCCCCAGCGTCAGGACGAATCCCTAAAGACCAGTATCGTCTCTCAACCAAAGGTTTATAAACTTGGCGGCGACAACAGAGAATTGGTTCCAAGGCTCTAAGCTTGCAGATGAAGAATTGGACTGTCAGGACATAACTAATAACACATTCATTTGGATGTTCGAATTGATTTTGTGACACCGCTTCGTATAACGTAAACGTACATCAGATATTTTAGCCAAATGCAACTGAAACCATTCGCATTGGTCTGGTTGACAATTAGGAAAACGCCCTAATGAAATTGTGTATGGTCTGATGGTCGGCTTTGAAAAAATGTAACCGTGATTTATATGTGAGTTATATTTTGCGTGGGAAACTATTCCCCTTTATATCCCAGTAGGTCTATTTCATGTCTAACACTATCATGACAATAATAGGGAATATTGGCTGTATAGTCTCAGAGGAAATAATTTTATTACATTGATACATCAAGGGGCTATTATATTATGTCTTATATTTCCGCAAAGATATCTCATAAACATTCGTGTTGCTTCCAAATAATGCACTTTCTAGAACATGCAGAAATGTATTTTATCTGGAATGATCATAGGGCTGAGATAAAACGTCTCAGACAGGCGTCACTTTAACGGTGTAAGTAGCTAAGTTGTTAATACATTTAAGTCAGGTATATACAATAGTGTAATGAAAAACAGCTCTTAACATCCAGATATACGTCCCTTGGACCGGTTGTCGCAAAAGGCCACGGTAGGATAAATGATCATAACGAATTTCATGCAACATTGGATATGTATTATTAACAGATGAAAGAGGATAGAATTATACCTTAACAATCTACCTGTCTGTCTCAAGGAAAACTTTCAGCATGGAAATGTCAAGCATGAACACCTGGTGTCTAGATATAAGGAGGCAATAGTTGCTCAAGCATCGTTTCTAACCCTGCTAGTGATGGGTGATTGGTATTTAAAACTGAGTGCTGGTAGAGTGATGATATTAACTTGGAATCCAAATTAACACCCACGGGTGGAGTTACTAAACCACTGTCTTTGAGAAAAGATTAGGCAATAAAATTGTATCAGTTTTTGTGGCAGATAACTTCTCTATATTTGCAACTGACTAAAACATAATCATTTTTACGATTCATCGAGGCAAATTTGTCAATAATATTAGTTGTATTTGTAATATTCGCATTGTGGAATCATAACATGTGTTAATATAAAAACGTATGGTATAACTGTAAACATTTATATGCTTTGTAGCAAACAAAACACCACGTTAGCTATGGAACTAAAATATTGTTTTGTTATCATGTAAGTATACGTTTCAGTCGACGAAGGTGTACAGGCACCCTCTTCTCAGTAACTAATATGTTCACAATGTCGGTTGGAACAGTATTTGACATTTACATTGACAAGTACGCTTTACTCGTCATGGAACACACGTTAAACTAAAAATTGTGAAGTTAACGAAGATTTGCTCGAATGCACCAACACTTAATGTAACCATGTTGTGAAAGTTATACTTTCTACAAATCAGGAAATGTTTTCATTACATGCACTATTCGGCATACTTTGAATGTTGAGTACAGTTGCTTATCCTGTCCTAATGTTGGCCGACAGAGAGGTCGCCTGGAGTGAGTTAATTATATGTCTATAACGTGTGTTCCCAGAGTACATTCCCGTCTGGTGTCTACGTATGAGAGCGCCTCCACTCGTCGCTTCCGGCTGGGCCGAGTGGACAACATCCGGGCCAACTCTCTGGCAGCTCTTGAATGGTCCAAGGCTATGATAGGAGAACTCGACTGCAGTGTACGTAGAAGCTGACATTATACAAATTTTGTTGTTGCTGTTGTTGTTTAACGCCGCATTCAGCAATTTTCCAGCTATCCAGCGGTTTGTAAATAATCGAGTCTGGAGCAAACAATCTAGTGATTGATATCATGAGCATCGATTACTACGATGACATGGGTCAACCAAGTCAGCGAGCCTGACCACCCTACCCTGTTAGTCGCCTCCCACGACACATATGGGTTGCTGAAGACAACCCGGATCTTCACGTGCACATAATACCATTACCCACATATAACGGTAAATACAATTATAAGGTTTCAATGGCGAGGTGCCTAATATTTAGTCGTAAATGTTTACAACACACAATGAGCCCAGTCTCAGTTGTCAGTGATTAGCAAGTGTGAGTGATTACGACAAAAACGCCGCCTTAAAATATGTTCATGCAAAGTCAGGAAATTGACGGCACCATTTTGCCCGGGCTTTTAGCAAAACAGGGCATCGTAAAGGATTAATCTATAACCATCATGGTGTGCTAGCGTGTCATACAATGCGCATATACGTACAGTACAGTTGTGGTACCGAAGCAATTTACAGTTCCCATGCATTATTATTATATCTTTGTGTCAGGACGAGGAGAAATTCGCTTTGCTACAAGAGGCCTTACAATGCCAGGCCAACTATATGACTGATGTAAGTATATATCCGTTGTATATGTTTAATATTCAAAATGAAACGGCACTAACTATTTCCTTATTTTCACTCTTTGGAACGTCATAATATGTTTCATAATTTTGCTGAGTGAAAAAAAGTGGGGTTTTAAAAAAAAAAGATCATTAATTATATTTACACATTATTCTTTTCGGTTTTGAATAAATCGATGCTATGTTCTTCCTTAAATTCCAGCGATGTTTTTACACTGCAAAATAGTGAATGTAACATATAAAAGCACCGAAGAGGTTTCTTACAGTGCCACAAAAAATCCATGTTTAATTGAGGCAGAAAGTTACAGTGACTAAACTGACCTCATGGAATTATATAATCAATGAATAAGAAAAAAGTCATTTGCTCACATCCGACACACGCCACTAAAGGTTTCACGTTTTTTACATAAAGGAAGCCTCGGTGTTTTTCTCGGCCTCGAAATAAGGTGGACAAATATTTGTTGTAGCTTTAATTAGATCATTAAGTACTCGATTCTTCTGTAAACTACAATTTCCGACATTGTTCGATGCTGTTTCCAGCCATACCACCTGAACTCAGACTTTGGAAAGAAATGAAAGTCTGCAGGGAAATAGGTTGTTCTCTCAATTTCCGTTATGGACCCTCCGAAGTTAAGATGGACAAAACCCGATCTTCATTGAGGGCAGCCATAATTAGACTGTGGCTTTTGAGAACCGAAAATTAGAATAGTCAGCGGGATCAAATTCCTTACGAAGAGTTCAAAGGATTCGGGTCACTTTTGTTTCACAAAGGGCAAATGACTAATTGCCAGTGAGGACGTTTTGCGTAATTCTGGCTACGCCAAGTTGGTCTAGGGTTCGACTGGGCACGAGACATAATCTGCCAGGAAACAAAGACAATTAATTTACATCAATGAAATCTGCAAGGCGGATTTTGTGTTATTAGCGTGGCAACGTAAACTAAAAAATAATGAATTGTCTTCCTGTGAACAGAAGGGACTTTTGTAAAATCTGGGTCTTACCAAGTTAGGTTTTTACCTTTGTTTTTCGTTTTACATTTAAATGACATTTAAAAAAAAAAAAACAATATTCTATCTTACTAACTAATCTTTGATTTGTTTTATTGATAACTATTTTGAGATTAATTGACGAGCCTCGTTTGAAATCTCTAACAACGATATAATGATATCAATAGAAGATTGTTTAATGAAGGTTTGTTGTCTAGTTCTGTGAAAAGACAAAACACGAGAAAAGGGCTCCAGAGAAATGTAAAATTATTTGTTATCAATATGTTTCTCAATACAATTAATCGTGATTTTGATTAATTTCAGTCTGGGTTTCCATTACAGATTTCATATATATCCTTTTCGTTTTGCTATATATCCGACATGTGCTTGTTTGCAGACAATCCTTGGTCAAGGTATAGACTGCCATCTGTTGGGACTTCGTGAATGCGCAGTCGAAGCATGTATTCCTATGCCAGACTTCTTCAAAGATGAAGGATTCCGACTTGCCAACCATTTTACCATGTCCACGAGCCAGGTACACGACAACAAAACAACCATGTCTATATTTCATTCTGTATATTACGCAATTCCCAACTTGCCGGAAAAACAATTAATGGTACAACAGGGACGGTGATCAAGACATACTTACCCATTTCGCTGGTGTCATCACTTAATATATTTACTAATCCATTCATATACGCTTTACTACAATATCGCCAAAGTAATCTGTTTCGTCTGATAATCGAACCTTCTAATTCTCTGGTATTGAAGTTTTATATACACTCTTAAAGAAAGAAGGGGAACATGAACTTTCAATCTGGATAGGAAGTATCAGCTTTAACAAACTTAAGAACGCGCCACCATTTCTCTTTATCGCAACCCCTTAACACAACGCAAGGTCGATAAATCACTGTAGACCATTAATTTTGACAATCACCTTGCATGACACAGTTGTTAGTGTTTGTTTCTAGCCGTTTTCTTTTTGTTGTTGTTTTTGTTTGTTTGTTTGAAAATGAAAATCGTACAATTTCACGTCATACACCAATTATTTTTCAAGAGCGATTACTGTACCAACAACTATGGTCATAAGGAAGTGCAAGTGGTGATGCACTCTCAAAACATTCATTATTATCATATCAACATTGATTGACTCCGATATATCTCCCAATTGTTTTCAATCGTAAATTCCCATACTTTTTTTAAGAGTATATATGCGTTATCATTAGACTCGCTTCCTGATATAACACTCTGCTTTACTTGAAGGTGCCAACGTCAATGGACTCTTTCATGTGTTATGGCCCTGTCGTACAGGATGGCTACGGTGTTTGTTACAACCCCCACCCCGACTACATCCTCGTCACCGTCTCCTCCTTCAACAGTAACGACGACAGCGACTCTGCCTTCTTTGCGATGTCGCTTGAAAGTAGCTTGCTTCAGATGAAAGAACTTTGTCTCAAGGCTAAGGAATTCAACAGTGTACCACCATCCTGACAAACAAAGAGTATCCATTGTAAACTTTGACAGATCACGGTGTGCTATCTGTAAATCGAATTACTTTCAGTATTAGTTTTTCATTAGGAGTACATGTGTTCTATGTGAAACGAATTTCCTTTAAAACATTCCAGAGGTTAGTCGTATGGGACTAGGGGTTATCATTTCATTGTGTCTGGAGTAGGCAAAACAAAAAACCTCGATGTTACTAGGACAAAGCAAGAATCACCCCTGTCTTGTGTCATTCATAAGACCAGAAGGAACACTGTCATTGAACATTGAACGTTGCTAATTGAAGTGAAATGGCCGACCACGTTCTATGGCCCGAACCATCCAGGGTGTTTAGAAGCCAACCATTTGGTTAACATAAAAGTAAAAGGTTTTTAATGGGATTAATATGTTTTACCAGAAGTCAAACTGACATCTTATCACATACCAAGGTACACCTCCAAACTGAGGTATTAGAAAGTCCATCATTCTGTTATATATTCTGTCATTTCAGGAACTACAACAGATGAAGCTTGGCATTCGATTCTATTACATACCAATCCGTCCAAACAGGACATAGGAAAATGTGGTATACACGTGCATCATGTACAGATTTTCTGTGTTTTTTTATTGGCTATGCTATTGAAACTAAATGAGACTGAAACGTACATTTCAAGGGGACAAAAACATCTTATTTATCCGTAAACTATCCTATCATTCAGATTTATCTACATTACTTATATTACTATATATTCCCAGAAACGGAAATTTCGGGAGACAGAATATTAGTTAAGTTTTCATTTATCATTTTTTAACACTTGTCAAAATGTACTTACAAGCTGTGATAAGATTACTGCTTTTTGTGTATTGGTTCGTTTTACCATCGCTGTGTGTGTTCGCCATATTCGTTATAGTACTATTTAGAATGTTTAGTGCTCTGGTCGAGGGTTGTGAAATGACGTTCAAGGGTGGTGTCGTTTTTTTACCAACCTTAGTCATTTGAAATTGTTATTTAGTGTAAATTATTTGGTAAGTGCTGTTTAAAACCGTTCACGCTGGCTCCTTACATTAAAGATAACGCACCATTTGGCGTTTTATAGACAAGTAAGGCCAGCGATCCACTACGTCCGAAGAATCTGCTGCACACATTGCGTTTTTCATCATGCATTGTAAGGGATTCCATGCGTTAATGTTTCTTGCGTTTATGACTTAAAGTACTTGAAAAAGGATGACATCAACAGTAATGGTTTTGATATCTCTCTCTGAACGAATAGGGATGGAGGGGGCATAGAACCTTTTTCATGAAAGACCTACAGGTTCACGATGACATGTTTCAAGGATAATTCTGACATTCAAACTTTCAGAGGAACAATATTATCAAGTCTCAGAAAAGCTTTTCTGTCGGAAAATGACGATATGTGTTTTTTTAAACACTAGTATTTCTTTATACGTGGTTAAATGTGTGATAACATGTCTGTAAGAATACCGATTCTAGTACGCGTTTGTTATGCTCAACCACGTAAAGAACAAGAGTCGGTACTCTTACAGATAATGTACAGATGGAACAACTAGTATTTCTTGGAAACAAAATACATAAGTGAATAGATTAATTTCTCTTTGATGACACCATTTGGCGATGTTTTAACAAAGTATAAATCAGCAGCATGTTTGCAAACAAACAAACACAAACAATATAGTTCAAACGAGCCATCATCTTGATGACCTGTCTTGTCTCGTGATTCCGCAATCAGGTTCCATGACTGAGGTGGGGATGTAGAGCGGGAAATATTACGTGCTGCTATTTGCTTCCTGGAAAATGTCCCTTCTACGTTTTCAAAATATAACGTCGTCATAATTATATCAATTGCCTCGGATCGCAACGCAACCATTTTTTGCTCATAATCTATTGTTCAAGAGACTGCAGGACGCGTTATGTTTGACTCACCGCAAAAACATCGGACGCAGTGGAAAGCCTGCATGGCGGCTGATGTTAGCCTAGTGTTTTACAGAAACTATGTGGACAGGGCAGAGTGATCCAGTGTTTAGGTTACGTCACGTGATGCCAACCTGAGATGTTTACCACTTTGTTTAAATCCACAACTGGTATGGTGCTGATTCACCATGAAACATTGTAAGGACGCCTTAGAAACGAAACTTAGGAATTGTGGATCCTTACACGACTAGGTCTCCTGATAAGTAGGAAACCCGTTGGCGTAATCTAGTTGAAAACGTGTGAGTTTGTCGCTGTGACGGGAGATTACAATATTGTATACAGAGATATTATGATTGTTGTTGCTACTTACAGAGGTTGAATGTTTTCATGTTTCCATGTGCTATGCGATGGAGTTGTCCAATAGAAGTACGAGTGTCTAGTATAACTGTATATCATTGTTATTTCATGGGGTGTTTCCATCGGTTTGACCGTGTGAATGTTACAATATTGAAATGTCAGTAGGTAGAACCAGGTGGGATGGGGCTCAAATGAGCACATACTATCTGATTTCAGTACTACACAACATCAATAGTTCAGATTTACTATTACACTGTTGCAAAATATATGCCATGACGTATGATGACAATTCTTGTCATAGTTAGTTCAACATGCAATACTGGCGCTGCATTTGTGATATTATCCCTAGCTGGTCAGCATGTCCAGTCCAACTCATCACCATGGTGACGAGGTCTGCCGAGTGATTGTTGTAGCCCGTTATTACAGAGTATTACTGTGATGAGTATGTTCATAGAACTCGTTATGTGAGATCGACATCATGTGATAAATCCATTTTTAACACTTATTTGACATATCATAGAAACTTTCCACATTTTTCTGATACGTGTATTGTATAGACACGTGTATAGTATATTTGTTATAGATGAAGGGGAGAGTTATTTGTAGAACATACAAATAAATGAGTTGTTACAAATATGGTTTGTTGTTTTGGATGACACGACACAGCATGTACAGCAACAGGAAATCAGATTTTATGCGTCAGATTCTTCAGCATTTCAACTTAAAAATAGTTCTTAGATCGTATCAAAAATGCATAATAAGTAGGTAAATATGTTTATCATGTAATGGAGGGTGTTATCGGTGCAATAAAGCAATCTTATAACCTTGATATCCAAATCTGATAAATATGCAAATTAGGTCAATACACGAACTACTTTCACAAAACTCCATACACGCCATGCGAATCCTACAACGTTTAACATTTCATTGATGACGTCGTCGCGAGTTTAGTCACAACCATATGCTGCCGATCTTCACCTTGGTGTACCACGAAGTATTCTTACGCGAATGCTCGATTCTCTTCATATAAATTCACGTATGATCTGGCCCCGATTTCTCGAAACAAACTTAAGTTTTTACTCAAATTTCAAACTGAGTTTGACAATGTGAAACAGGTGAATTTTTAACTCAACTGCATTTTTTAAATAAAAAAGCCCAAACAACTTAAGTAATCTATCCACCAAACTCAAATTGTCTACTAAGTTTGAGTTGAATATTGATTTCAGTTTATTATGGGAAATGCATTTTCCTGCGTTTTCTCAAATTTGAGTAAAAACTCAGACTTAAGTCAAAACTCAGACTTAAGTTTGTTTCGAGAAAATGGGGCCTGTTTCTTTTTTTCAGAGTAATTTTATGAATGACATTATATGATAAAGATATTATTAACCTCGTGTGTTTCTGTATCATTGATATCATATATTAGGAATATAAAATATGTAATATTCTTTTCGGTTAGAAACCTCTATTTAACCGTAGAAATGTTGGTCACCCACCCTCAGGTGTTCAACATGGCTGCTTAAAACGCTCTACAGCACTACATCATCATCGCGGTAGGCGCTTGACGCACTATATGACAAAATAACAAAGGAAGTTCGTTTAGCAAAACTGTTTCATTATATTGCTTGTTTCATTACCAAAGATCGCTTTGTCATAAAGCATAGATTAAATACCAGCCAAACATTATCTTACTTTTTCGGCCAAATCTTGAATGCTTTGTAATAACCATCAATAATGATGTCCAAATCCTCCCGATTTTCACTAAAAAGTCAATTTTCTGTTCATCAAATTTCGAGTCAAGTCGAAGAATGTGCATTAAACCAAAGAAAGGACAACATCGATTTGACGTTATAAAACAATCCCTGTAAAGAAGCTCAGATTGAATATTCGATGAGAATGAGAATAAAGTAAACATGATTTCTGTTGAATCATGAGAACCAAAAAAGAGAGATGATTAAGTGCCCAGGCGTTTTATTCCATCATATTTACGTCACAGCGGCCAGGATTTCTCAGCGCCCGGATAGATGGATGGGCGCTCTGAAGCGAGCCAAATATTTTGACATAGATGGAATGCTCGGTTATGCAATAATATCATAAGTGTTTGATCCGCACAAAATAATACCAATTTCCGACGATTTAGACTATAAAGATGTCCATATCTGGCAAGCCATATCATTTTCTATGATGAATATTCGGCGCAGGAAAAACGCTTTTTTGCTTCAGTGAATAAAAGACTGTATGATGTATGTCCTCCTATGAAAAATCTATTCCAATATTTTGCTGACTTAATGGAGACTCATATCTGAAGTCTTTCCTGCCTGGAATTCAATTACTAAGTTTTAGAGACTTTCAATCGCTACAAAGAAATTCAATTTTGATGTGTATATCAATGTCCGTCCAACGTTACTGTTTTATCAATATCAATGAACTTGATCATATTTCAATGGATTAAAGCATTCAAATTGTAGTTAATCATTGGTTCTTTCTCTCCCCGAACAGGATGTAGAAAATAATAGCTCTATGTAAATGGAAATAAAACAATTAAAATATATTACGTAACTGGACAGTGGTGTATTAAGGAAATGCAGCTGTACAGACGAGATACGGCCTTTTTCGTAGCTTGAAGATAACGTTATACGTTTCCATTTCTTAAAAGATGTTTTTATCATTCTTGGTCGTTGCTCTTTCGGTCCAGTTCCACAAAGAGACCATAGAACTGCAATTCTTGTAAGTCTGTGAGTTAGTATGATAGTTAAAACCGTCTAAGATCTGTTTCGGGACCCTTGGCATGTACTACAGTGATGAAGGGTGTCACCGATGGGGCGGGATCCGGTCATATATTCATCACCTTTAGATGGGGATTTTTAATAAATCTCACACAGTTGCAATCGACCTTCAGAGATTTCGTGTGTCATTGGAGAAGATTATGTTGTTTGCATTACAGGAAGGCGGATATCATTCTTGCTTATGCCAATAAGACAGTAATCATTACACCTCAAACAAACAATTACTCACCACATAGTAAGTGAAGCAGTAAACCAGGATGTTTCAAGCGTTATCGATGAATTGCCATTAGTAATTGACATGTAACTCATTCAACTATATTCGTGCAGACAATAGGACTGACAGGTGTAGGCAAAGGGTTTCATGCAAATTTAGTCAACTGAGTCATATGAGCTATGGTAAATGTTAGGTAAAGTAGCAAATCTCTAAAATGGTCGTTTTCAATGAACAGGCCAGGATTGTTTTGTTTTCGTTTTTCTTATTTTATTTTTTATTTTATTTTATTTATTTTTTGATAGGCATCATTGATTAGTTATCTTATGGAAAATTCGTGGTGTCTGAATACCTGAAATCCGGTTATGCGAAATTTCCAATTGCGAACAAACAGGCATTCTAATATATACAACTGATACTTACTTTATTTCCTCCATTGTCATGAAGTGCAGTACACAAAATGAACAACACAAACTACAAAACAGTCAGTCAGTCATAAGACTGAGATGTACAAGGAGATTGCAGACATACATTTCAGTATATACTTCATACTGCTATAATGACTGGTTGGAGTCTGGACATATATATGGTCT